CCTCGCAGGAGTCCACACAGGGTTCGCCCTCCAGCTCCGCCAATGGGGTAAACCCTTCAGGAAACCACAGAGAGGGAAACCTAGTCCCTCCTACAACTTCCGCCCTACTCCTGCGCGCGTTGCTACCATCAATAAAGGAAATATCTCATCTTATCTCTATGTCCCCTATTCGTTACAGCTCTGGGGAAGAAAGAGGGAGGATCAGCTGTGGGCGTTGGTGGACACTGGAGCGGAAGAGAACTACCTAGATCACGGGTTAGCAAAAGAAATGAGGCTGGAAATGGAATGGAAGGGAGCCGTGACGCTGGCAGACATCTCAAAAACGGTCAGCAGTTGGAAGATCAAGACCCAGGTGCTGCTGCGGCAGGGGCCTCACACCTTCCAAGAGTCATTAAGTGCCATTAAAAATCTGCCTCATCCCATAATCCTGGGCATGGAGTGGTGACACAAGTACTCCCTCAGTTCAAACTGCAGGAGCGCCTGGTCTTGCTACACCCCAAGAACCAACCCCCAGTAGCACTAGATTTCTTCACCACTGGTGGAGGGAAGCCTGGGGTGAACGCAGTAGTAGGGCTGGAGGCGGAGGCGGACATACCCAACGAATTTCGTGCATATGCTCACCTGTTCAAGAAGAACCAAGCTCTCTCTACCACCCCAAACGGTCCTTACCCTTTCACCTTCAGGTTCAAAAAGGATGCGGAGTTCCCCAAGGGTTGTCCCATCTACCCTTTGAACCTTAAGGCGAGGGCGGCCCTTGAGGTCTATGTCAAGGAAATGCTGGAGCGCGGGATGATTGTTCCATCCAATTCGCCAGTGGTGTCGCCAATACTCCTAGTCCCAAAAGCAAGTGGCGAGCTTCGTCCATATGTGGACTACCGGTGACTGAACGCAATCACTGAGTCTGACCCCTACCTTATCCTTCTGATGGAGACCATCTCTCAGATAATCTCAGGCAGCCAGGCTTTCACCAAGTTGGACCTGGTTGACGCGTTCAACCAAGTTCCAGTAATCGCTGAACAACAACAATATACGGCTTTCAAGTGCCACTTAGAAGTCTTTGAGTACAAGGTGATGCCTTTTGGCCTCAAGAACGCCCCAGCAGTATTTCCAGCGTACCGTAGACAGCGCCCTAGGAAACCTAATTGGAAAATGTTGTGTGGCGTACATGGATGACATACTTGTGTTTTCCAGGACCAAGGAGGACCACAAAGGTGATGTGCTGAGCGTGCTGGAAGCCCTCAACAAGGCGGACCTCCGCTTGAAGCCATCTAAATGCAAGTTCTACAAGGACTCAGTATCCTTCTTAGGGAACTTAGTCTTCCAAAAGGGAACAGCCATATGCCCGGATAATCTGAAGGCAGTAAGGGAGTGGTCGGCCCCTAAGGATAGAATGGGTGTTAGAAGTTTCCTGGGCGTGGTGAACTTCCTAAGAAGGTTCGCAAAAGACCTTTCCAAGACGGCGGCCCCCTAACTTGCCTGACAGGGCAGGTCCCGTTCCATTGGGGAAAAGAGGAGGAGACAGCCTTCCAAGCCATCAAGGAGAGCCTCATGAAGGCACCAGTACTAGCCCATCCTGACGCCAACCGTCCTTTCATTGTGGATAAATACACCTCCAACTTTGCAATTGGGGCAGTCCTGCTACAAGAGGGAGAAGATGGGTACACCATCCCATAAGCTACTTTAGCAAGAAAATGCTGCCTGCTGAGACCAACTACCCCGTGTATGACAAGGAGCTCTTAGCGATTGTATCAGCCTTGGAGGAATGGCAGCACCACTTACTCTACGCCAGACATCCCTTTACTATCAGAACGGACCACCGAGCCCTCAAATTTTACAAGAGCTCAAAGTTCATGAACCAGCGCCAGGCCAGATGGCACCTAGAACTGGCGTCTTATGATTTTAGGATTGTGTACAAGCTGGGGGAAAGCAACCTCATCCCAGATCTCTTAAGCAGGGACCCAGGTAAGTCCTTCCCAAGGGAGGAGCTGGATGCATACAACACCGCCACTATGTTGCCCTCAAATGTGTTTGCTGTCATCCAGAATGCCACCAATGAACCGAGGGAAAAGCTCCAGGCCGCCCAGCGAAGCTCAAAAAATGGGTCAACACTGTGGAAGGACCTGAAGGAGGAGGTAGAGAACGAGCAACATAAGAGTTTCTGTAAAAGGAAAGGCCTCATTCTCCACAAAGGGCGCCCATGGCTGCCCAACCGCGAGCTCCAGGAGGAGGCGATAAGCGCTTTCCACGACCACCCCTTGGCGGGACACCCTGGAAATGAGAAAACCATAGAGCTCCTGGCCCAAAGTTACTCCTGGCTGGGGTAGCCCAGCGCCATAAGGGAGTATATCCAGAAATGTCACATGTGCCCATTCCAAGCACGTTAGGCAGAAGCCTTTAGGAAAACTTATGCCCTCCAGATTGCAGAAATACCATGGTCCTCACTGAGTGTGGACTTCATAACAGGGCTTCCAAAATCAAAGGGATATGACGCTGTGATGGTGGTGGTAGACAGAATGACCAAGTACACGGAATTCTTTCCTTGTAACTCCACCATCACAGCAAAGGGCATGGCGGATATCTTCGTTAATGAGGTTTTCGCCCGCCACAGTCTACAAGAGGAGATAGTATCAGATAGAGGCCCCCAATTCATCGCCCAATTTTGGCAACACCTACTTGAAAATCTTCAGATCAAGCCATGCAGATCCTCAACTTACCACCCACAGTCTGACAACCAGACGGAACGAGTTAACCAAGTCCTTGAGCAGTACCTGAGATGCTATATGACTACACAACAGGAACGCTGGACAGACTGGCTAAGATTAGCCCAATTGACATATAATAACTTGACCCATATGTCAACAGGAATGTCGCCATTCATAGTGAACTACGGGTTCCACCCAAAGATGATGGAAACCCACCCCAGAGGTCCAAATCCAGCGGCCAACGACTTGGCAACAGAAATGAAGGAAAACCTGAAAGCCCTGCGTGAAAACTTAGTCAAAGCAATAGATATGCAGAAGAGGAAAGCCGACACTCACCAATCCAAGGCCCTGGAGCTAAAGGAAGGAGACCTAGTAATAATCAACGTGAAGAACTACTTGGTGCCAGTAAGCTGTAGGAAATTTGGACCAGTTGCTCTGGGCCCATTCAAAATCCTCCACCAGGTAAACAAAGTGGCATACAAACTTGAGTTACCCAAGGGATCGCGGGCACACCCAGTGCTGCATGTCTCACAACTTAGGAAGTTCAAAGGCCCTCTCCTAGAGAAACTGGAGCCTGTCCACTCAGGAAACCTGGGAGAGGCGGAGTATGAGGTGGAGGAGATCTTGGAGTCAAAAATCTCTTTCGAAGAAAGTGCTGGTACCTAGTCAAATGGGTAGGATACCTGGTGGAGGAGTCCACCTGGCAGACAGCCGATGACTGCAGCAACTGCCCACAGAAGGTGGAGGAGTTCTGGAACTGGAGGGGCTCTCATCTGGGGAGGGTGATGTAACAGTCAAGGCGTTGCCTGACCACCACATAGCCCTAATCTTCCCTAGGGCAATAGTCAGGGCCAGGATAGGGGCTCAACTGCTCTTATTATCATAAATGGCAATCTGATGGATCAGATGCCTCAAAATCAGAAGCAATATCAAATTGAAAGGCTGTTGGAGAAGGGAAGCCTTGGAAATGGCACTCTGGCCAACCAGATGCTGCCAAATCCAATATTGCTAAATGTGGCGATGAGGGATCGGACCCTTGGATGCAAATTTCTGACCAATTGGAGGCTGAATCCGTTGCTCATGGGAGTATTGACAAGGATGAAAATCCTTGCGAATGGTGCTCTGGCCAACCAGATGCCGCCGAACAAAATATTCCCAAAAGAGGCAACAAGCCAATATTGGGGAATATAGGCGAAGGGAATGGCCCAGGCTTTGAGAGCAAATCGAAGATGAATAATAAATGCGGAAAAGTTTCTGCAACCCTGAGGGTACCCAGCCCAAGTTTGAGAACAGGCCTCAATGCCAAAATCAAGGGTCTATATTCTTAAATAGGGCCTGCCGCTGGGAAGATGCCTGCGGACTTTGTGGGAACAGGACTTGCTCTTCCCCAATAAGCTCAGTATAAATCTGAGCAGGCAAAACTGTGTAAAGCAGTTTTGTCTTCTATAATAAATAAAACTCAATAAATTCAAAAATAAAGTTTTCACATTTGTAAATCTGTTTATTAAGCAGACCCAGAAACCCCCACATGGACAGCAGTTCAGACTTTGACAGGGCCATTCAGTCCCTGTACGCCCTCTCAGGGGGTCAGGTCCTCCTCCTGAGCGCCAGCATTGTCCTAACTGTGGTCCAAACCTTCATGGTAAAGTGGTTTCCGCATAGTTATATTTGGGATTTCTCAACAGCAGGGCTATCCTGCCTGTGGGCCCTCACTTGGGCACTCCTGCCTAACTGCTTTGTGGCAGTTTTCAGAGACCCTGTCCATCACATAGATGCGCTAGTCTTTTTTTAATAATCAAATTTACTTATTATAAAAAATGTATATATACATGAAGGCCTCTAAAACTGTCTTTAAACTTAGAATTGATAAGCACTACAACTATTCAACCATTTAAACTTTATTTTCTGATATAAATAATAGCACAATATGGAAAATTTATTGTTTAAGTAAGAATTATTACAACAGTATGCTAAGGGTAGTTAGCCTGGAAGGTAAAATTGCTTCTACCCTAGTGCAGGTTTTGAGTTCAAAACCTGTACTGGCTAGAAAAATTCTCAGTGTGGTATACTTGTCCCAAGGTCAACCCACCTTAAATATTTTTTACATCAGTATGCCTTTCATAACGCGCTTATCAATATGCACTAATTTATAGAAGCTAAAAAATGTGTGAGGTTTTTATACTTTGAAAAATGTCTGATTGTTTGTAAAAAGTATTTCAAAACATGATGCTTTCTTAAAAAAGTTCAATAGCCTTCTAACTATCTGATATACAACACTAGGTATAACAAGATGTGGTAGGGTAATGGTATAGTTGGTAGCACATCTGACTAACACTCAGGAGGCTCATGTTCTAATCCTGCTCTTCAGACATGTCTTGGGGTGCCAGCTGTGGACTCATATTGGTAAAGAGATAAGCTAAACATAATTGGAATCCATACCTTTTTTTTAGTACTAGATGGTGGAATCCATACCTTATTATAAATAACTTAAATCATGTTTTATTATAAATATAAAACTTATATCATATAAAGTTTCATATAAATGGGTTTTTTGTCAATTGTTAGTTGATTTCTTTACATTTTTGGTAGTGTCTTCCCCCTGATTGGCCTACCCCAAATATATATAATAAGCATAGGGATTCTATTCTTCATGGTCAAAAAGTTCACTATTGCATCTTTTCTTTTACTCTTTATTTATAATATATTTCTCATCAAATTTTATGCAATTTTTAGGTAACAAGAAAAATTTCCTGGAATTTCTCAGAGTAGTTTAATATATAAAGCTGATATAATAAATTAAATGAGATTTTTTTATAAAAAAGAAAAGGTACATTCTTCATAAATAATGGTCATAGGTAAAACATTAAGTGTATAATCTTATATTGAATGTTGATTTAACTTTATTTAATTGAGCTGATTATTTTACCAGAGATAAACTTTGAGTTTCTAAAATATTATAAGATAATATCCTATAAGATACCATAGTCATTATAATATTTGAGTAATAACTCTATCAGTTAAGCAGATAAAACATTAATGAAGTATGTCTATAAAGGCTTTATGTTTATTAGGTTAAAAGGAGTGTATGTAAAACTATCTTGCATCTGTTCATATAAAGCTTTTTATATCAGAAGGATTATTGTTCCTGCTTTTACCTTAAAATTATAAAAACTGGGATTCTTAAAAATATATAAAAGATTATCTAAGCTTCTACCAAGAAAAGATTAATATAAACTACACTTTCATGCAAGAGGTGGTTGCTAAATAAGTACAAAACTCTCTTACTTTACATTACTAAGGTATACCTTTCAAGTGCAGCTAAAAATGGGTGTGAGCGTATTTAGGACAAAATCTAGGTATTCAAGTTAACCTGTAAATTATTTATCTGCCACTTCCATAACCCTGCTATAACTATTTTATTCTACTTTAACAGAAAAAAATAAGGTTTTCTAAAAAATGGATTATGAAATTTCATATATCATGTCTGTCAAGAGAGTGTCTGTAACTCTCTCTTGTTCCCAGCAAGGTGATGTGGGATGCGGACCCACATTGCTAGTGAACTAGCCATTAAAAGAATGGAAAATGAGGCACCTAGAATGGTGCTTGAGCAAAAGGTAACCCAGGCGAGGGTATAAGGCACCACATATGAGACCAGGTAAGTAAGAAACCTCCCAACTTAAGTAGACACCAAAGGGGAGTCCATCGTCAAGGGTAATTGGGTGCTAGTAGACTTGGGTGTCTTGGTCTGGAGGGGACCTAAACGGCTCAAGAAAGCACCTGAGATTTGGGTAAATAGTGATAATAAGTAGAGGCCCACATGGTTGGAGACCTCCTGAAGAGGTCCACCACCAAGTTCAACCAAGTAACCATTAAAAAATGTAAAAATAACGGGTAGAATTTATTTAAGAAAAGTTGACCAACAAGGAATGTTGGTCATAAAAACATATTTAAAGTGGGACGGGGAAATTTGGGTTCTGCAGAAGTGCGCCCAAGCCTTGATGCTCCAATAAACAGATGCTTCCATCCATTTTAGTAAAATACATCAAAAGTGCCTTCACTCAAGTAATTGATTGAAGCCATATTTTACCTGAGCTTAAAATTTCATAGCTAGAGCGGGACTCGAACCCTTGCTCTCCAACCAAGCGTATCGAACCATCTTTGTTTATAACATAAATCATTCATTTTAGGGCCTGGGTTGAGATCAGAGGCTGGGCGTTTTGCACCCCATTAGTATCAACCTGGGCATGCTTGGCTTGCACCCAGCGTTGATCTAAGGTGTGTTTCAGGTCAGGAAGAGCCTGAAGTTTCACCTTCAGGGCCTCCTGTCACCCAGCCTTATCTCTAGCATCTGTTCCTACTATAATGTCATCCAACCATGACAATGTCAGTTATCTTTGTATCAAATATTGGTCCACTTGACACTTGTATCCTATTTCATTTTCCACATTTGCTACCTTCTCTTTAATCTAGAGTTTGTCTTACATTGCTTCTATAAATGCAAATAGATTTCATATCAATACAACTCCTTTTTAGTCTCGTGTTTAGTTTTTAATGATTATTAGCTAAGAATAAGTTACTACTTATACCACATGATGACCAACCAAATAAAAATAGAATTAAATTCTAATAAATTCATTAGTAACCTGTAGGATTACTACTTGTGTGAATTATAGATTGATTAATTGATATAACCTATAGGTACCACATCATTTGTATCAGAGATAACTTATAAAACCTTAAATATATCTGTTTGCTACTGGTTGCTCTCTCATATTTTTGTTATAATATTAAATCTGACTTGTTGCTATCAAAATTAGACTCATCTTCAATTGTGATAATGAGGATCTTGCCTGATTCCACTTGTGTTTGATCAGGTCATATCTTGTTTTAAATGGAAGTTGACATATTTAAGTTTATTCAAAACAATGTTCATAAAAAATAATGTTTGTTATTGTATTGGGTGATAAAAAATCAATCTTCAATATACATTGGTATATATTTAGAAGTTCTCTAAAATGTTATAGTTGGTGCATAAGCTTGATCTACCACCAAGCAACACAATTATTATATTGATATATAGGTAAAAATCACAGTATAACATAATTTTGATTACAATTAACAAATAATGAGATAAGCATCTGGAAGCCAAGGAAAAGTATGTATAGTGGAATCAACTTTGTAGTCTTTTTTAATCTGATCTACTAGTGGCTATAATCCTAAGTGTTGCACATTATTCTGTACCAAGAGTTACAGTAATTTAAAGTACTAGGCTGCAATAACAATATTTGCTCATATTAAAGTCATAGAGGTATAGGATAGGATAGTAGGCTTTAAAAATCTATTAAAACTTTATACCAAATAATTACAGGTTATAAAAGTCTGGAATAGATGTGTTTTATATACACAGTGCATTCAAAAAGTTCTGGGACTAACGTTTTAAAGACACAATTTTTACAAATAAATAAAATTTCGTTATCATAATTTAACATACAACCTTTCCCTCTCTATACATATTTATATTGCTAAAACAATTGTTAAAAGGTATGCACATAGTTCCTATTTTGTATAACCATGTTTAAACCAGCTGTCACATTCTTCTGAATTGTCTCTACTTTATCAAAAGGATGAACCTTCAGTGCCACCTTCAGATTATAATTATCCACCCTATTCACCAGATTTGGCTCTGTCTGACTTCTTTCTGTTCTCTAATCTGAAGGCGGCACTGAAGGTTCATCCTTTTGATAAAGTAGAGACAATTCAGAAGAATGTGACAGCTGGTTTAGACATGGTTATACAAAATAGGAACTATGTGCATAACTTTTAACATTTGTTTTAGCAATATAAATATGTATAGAGAGGGAAAGGTTGTATGTTAAATTATGATAAAAGAAAGTTTATTTATTTGTAAAGTTGTGTCTTTGAAAATTTAGTCCCAGAACTTTTTGAATGCACTGTGTAGTTCAAAAACATATATGAAGCCATTGCTACATCCTCATTGAAGAAAACAATGGTAATACATTACTTATATCTAGTCAAATAAATCCAGCTAGAGAAGATACTAATGTTGCCAACTCAAAAATATCCCTTATCAACATTTAGAAATATTTTCCATCAAACATAAAGGCAACTTAAACTCTTTATCATGACAGTTGGAATCAGGGCAGGGTGTATGCTTGCTGGTGCTTATTAATCCCTGATTTCAACAATTTTTCAGGAGAAATATTATTTGACTGCTGAAATATTTAACAAAGGGATTTGTTTAACACTTTCATCTAAAATAATTACACTTATAGATATAGTAAACAATTGATTTTATATGGCTTTTAGTAAATGCAGTTGGGGGAACAAAGAGCAAACCCCCTTCAATATCAAGCTGCTTAGTATTTAAATTGTTTCAAGGCTCAAAGTGAGTCAGATGAGAAATTTATTATAGCTATGAGCATCCAAATTATGAAACGTGGGGTTTCAACCTATTGGAGCTCTCAAAATTCACCTTGCCTCAATGGAATGGCTGATTGAGGGTCAATAGTAGGTAGGACAAATCCGTGAGGTAAGATGTTGAGTTTGGGGCTTTGTTCTGATGGCTGGTTCTTCATCAGGTGTGAAGTGCAGTTTCGCACATCTATTGTGTGAGGACAACAGACAGGATGATGATTAGAATTTAAATTATAGCTTCTTGGTAGTATTTAATTCATATACCCTGTCATTTTTACTTGGACGATGGCATGCCACCCTGATCTTACTGATCCCAAGTAAAAACTGACTAATACAAAGAGAAGTACTAAACAAAAAGTTTATAAGTTAAATTATAAACAAGTTCAGTAGTTGAATGTTTTTTATTAGTATCAACTTGAGGGTTTACTATAGGGTTCAATGTTCATCACATCTTACCCATGACGTCTCATTTTCAATGGCACTTGGCCACATAAAATGTTTAAGAACGTCTACAAATACTTTGACTCAGGAAATATGCTCAGCCTCAGGGTCAGTATAAACACTGTCATCATTATTGAGATGGCATTTTGGATGCATCTGCAAATAGCTTAACCGATTCTCTTTCACATGTAATTGGCAGCAAATACCAAGGTGATTCATATCACTAATTAGTAATTAATTTGATCAAAAACTTGACCAACATTAAAAACTAATTTTTACATAGACCAACAAAGCCCACGTGCCTGAGTCATTAAATCAAAACTTAATTTTAAGTCCGACCTAACCAACAAAGCCCTTGAGCCTGTGTCATCATAGTTAATATAATTAAGTGAAATTGCTAGGCCACATATTTAAGTTTGGATATACTTAGGATATTTTTGGTTTATAGTAACTGACAATTTAGATCCAGTCAACCATTCAATATAAGGATT